ACTTCATCCTGCAAGTATAATAATAACTCTGGCTGATATTCAAGTGGAGCAAATTGATAACTGTGCCTTAATTTGCCAACTTCAGCTGGCCCTGGGCTGCCCAAATGCTGGAAACCTCACAAGACCCAGGGAATCTGCCACTCCTGTCCTCACCTCCCTCTCACTCCTGTTTGTGCTGTCCAGCTGCATTGCTGTCTCTATGCTGATATGGTATTAGAGCTGATTCCCGGTAGTCCTCATCTGCCCCTAGGGACTATAATGGAAGTTTTAATCACTCCGTGCATTGGCTGACCCAGGAGATTTTAGGACATGGCTGGCTCAGCCGGCCCAGCGTGTTGAGGCAATTGGTCGTCAGAAGGACTATCTTCTGCTTCCAGGAAGCAAAGGACTATCAGATCACAACAGGTTCTAGCTCCTGCCCCTAGGGAACAAACAGATGAAAGCTCGCAAAGTTACACCAAACAAAGTAATTCCTCTGGCTCGAGCCAGCTGCAAATCCTAACAGCCTTCTCCCTCACATCTCTTGGCACCAGAAAATTGATACATCTTCTCATTCAATTCTTTGCTGAATCATGTGATAGGAAGTCTAATTCCCTGCTGTGCTTACTCTGTCATACACTAACACACACTTTTGTGTTTCTCATTATAAACATCCGCAAACCATCCATGTAAGCATTACAAAACTTTAACATAAATGCTATACACTACCTTTAAAGACGGAATATTGTTTGAACAGCTTCTTGGTTGTTCTTTTTCTTTTTCAAGTGCTTAGCGTATAATATGTTCTTCCTTAATGGCTACGCAAATAAATGAGGCTTTGGCTTTTCTCCAGATATTTTCCCATTGTTGAAAGGAATATCTGTTTTTAGACTCTTTCCCGTTTTTCCGTAAAGGTAGCCTTATCTTCTTGGTCCATCAGTAACAGTTCGTTACTGATGTGGAACTCAGGCTCTTTGAGGTAGCCTTTCCTGTAACTACTGTTTCTGTCATCAATTGTCCCTCGAAACTGGGGACGTATAAATGAGATTCAGTGTAATTTCTTAGGCTCATATAGAAAAAAAAATCAACCAGAATTCTTTGGAGATATTTAATTTTGTTGGCCTGTCGTAATGGAATAGATGTTAAGGTTTCTAAGCTCTTTTTTGGCTGGCTGCATATGGAAACAGATAACTCTGCATGAAGTTCTAGATTGTTTTTGGTGAGTGAAACTGGAAAAAAGTTTTTTGATACTGATACTGAGCTTTGGCTCAAGACTCATATGGTATCAAGATTCATTTAGTATCAAGATTGGTATGGTTCTGGGATTGTTTCGTAATCTTTTATGCAGAAGATCCAACATATTTTCATGTTCTTTGTGGTTTTTTTTTTTTTTTTTTTTTTTTGTGCATAGATCAACATGTTAAATACATTTACAAAGAAATTACTAAAATTAGTGATAAAAATCTACTTGTGAAGCTGTTGACTGCATTATCTCACACATATTATTGCATAAGGAATTTTATCTAGGAGAAGGAAATAAGGCAAAAGGATATTTAAAGCAGCAGGCAATAAGTAATAAAAAGGTATCAGAATATATTCGTGAAGTAAAAAACACAAATGAGAATCTCAGCTCTGAGCAAAGAACATATATTGCACAAGTTGACAGTGGTAAATTATGTTTACTGATGACACTTAGTATCTTGAGGGAAGCAGTGTTGTTTCTCCTTCTCTCTTTTGTTCCTTGATATGTCTACTGTAAGAAAGCTTGTAGCTGAGATGTTCTGATGGCCAACAGAAGGACACAAGCATTCTGAGAGCTCTTTTCAGCTCATATTATAGCAACATAAATTCCTCATATGAATCAGTGAACTATTTCTGTTTGTTCTGTTGGAGCAAAGTACAACTAACTCAAGAGCTTCCTCTTCTATGAGGAGGAATAGGAAGGAGAATAATGAAGAGGACATTAAGAATTCGAGAGGACTAGTGTATGAAGAATCAGACATCCAAGATACTTTTTATTTGTCTTTTCTAAATATTCTGATGCCGTTCTACTGAGTAGCCATGTTTAAAAACAGCAGGTTCTATTCATAGGGAGAAAAGAAATTTTAAAATACTTGATTGCAACTGGTGTCCAACCTTAGCTTTTAAAAATGAGCTCAAGTAGTTCAGCCAGAGGAGTAAAGAGGAGATTTTGTGTTGCTTCACTTAATTCTCCATGTCCTACATCTGCACGTATGGGAGTGAGTGTGTTTGCCTTGTCTTTCTTGAGTGTACATATACACACTGTACATACATGAGCAACAGTAGGGCTGGATGTTTCCTGGAAAACATGCAGTGTTCATAGGGAAGTACTGAGTGAATGAAAGGTACTCTCTGCATGTAAAAGATATTTTGCACAGTTTGATAAAGAAAAATCATTAAATTAGAAATGTTATTTGAATGCTGATAATATTGCATGATGTGGGAGGAATTAGTACAGCCAAGAAACATGATAATACACATTTAATGAAATTTGGCTCTGTAAGGAATGATGATGCATTTTATTTAGATATTATGCCACTTCCAGGATAACTTAAAACCTCGGGCTATGATTTTATGATACCAATGTGCAGTGTCTTGAGAAGATATCCTTTTTAGTCAGACAATACTTACTCATTAATTCCTGAAAATCAGTTAATTTTGATTGCTTCAAACTGGATTGCCTGGAATCAGGACACCCAAATCGTCAGTGTTCTTGGAAACTCAATGCTTCTACATTTTAAAATCTCTTGATTCATAATGAAAAGGGATTTAATATATTTAAATGCTTTTTAATGTAGCACAACTGGAGGAGTTCTGTGTAAACTCTGAGCAAAATTTAACAAGAAAACGAAACAAATATATTCTGTAAGGTGAAAATTTGGTATTAAGAATGATGATTGCCCAAGGCAATACCCATCATTACTTTCAGATGGGATTGGAAGGTCTTCTTCCTACCCAAGGACAAATGCAGCTGGAGCAGAATGATCACACACAGGGATTTCTGTCTCCCTACCTTGTTATTCTGCAGATCTTCATACTGATTAGCTCATGTTGAAAAGAGTTCAAGCATTAACTTCTCTCAGAAATGCTCAGCCCCTCCACTCAGCACACAGAGCAAATGGGCTTGCCTCAGCGTCAGCAGCATTTTTTTAAGTAGTAAGCTGGAAGGGAAAAGATCTATTGCAGGTGACTTCAGTGCTGTAGCACGCAGTGCTGGTGATAGGCCATGTGGAGCAATTTCTGACAGCATGAGCAATTTGAGCTGGTCTGGCTGCCAGAACATCTCAGCCTCCAGACGAACCTGTCTTTGTCTGACACGAGCTGAGCTGCAGGTGTAGGCTGTGGCTGCTGTCCCTAACTCTTCAGTTACTAGGGGCTGAAATAAAAGATGAAATAGATGAGCCATGTCCCAAATAGTACACAGCACCTCCAGTGCTTATGACTATTACAGATGATTCTTAGAATTGGTCCTTAGCCTACTCTTCTGAACAAAATATTACTTTTGCCACTGCGTTATTTTAAAACTTCCTTCATAATATAGTCTAGTTACATGGATAAATCTAGCCTCTGTATCCATCCCTTTTTAGTAGCGGTCTCTCCTCAGCCATGCATGGACAGCAGAGTTTGTAGCTATTACCTTAATTTGTAACAGTTCCCTCACCTAGTAGGCCAGATGCTGTTGGCAAGACTACACAAAATGATAAAAGAGAAAAACATGCTCAAGTGCAGAAGGAAAAAAAAAGTCTTTAAAATACTTCTTCAGAATAAAAGCAAAAGCAACTATAGATGCTGGAGACTTGTCAATAGCAAGGGGACTAAGATACCTGGGCATCCCTAACAGCCCTTTAACATTGTGCTTGTTGATGTGGGCTTTGGTGGTGGTTGCAAGTGTCCAGTTTTTGTGCTCACCTGGCCCAGGAGAAGCCTGCACACATGTCCTGCAAAATGACACTCAGGCAAGGAGGTCAGCTGGGGATACAGAACATCCAGAGGTCGTGCAGAGCTGCCACTGCTACATGGCATGACTCACTGGCACGGAAAGGTGACAAACTCCTACTCAATTCCCTGAAAAAAACACCATCATTTATGAAGCTGGCTAGCACTGCTACATTTCAACAGGCATTTGTTGTATTTACACCCTTCCTTGCCAGTTACACTTGAACTCTAAGGGTGAAAAGATAGCTATAAATCTTTGTAGTCCAGAAAAACTGTTTGAGGCCAAATCCTTAAAAATGCATCTGCTACTATACTATGTAAAGGTTCATTATTCCTAGCATATTTATATTTGCTTTCTTCCTCTAAGGTAAAGTAACATATCAGTCCATACTGGCCATAAGAAAAAAGGTATCATTTTCCAATGTGGCAGTTATAGGAGGCTAAAAGCCACCTAGTTCTGGTTTCCTAATCAACCAATGTTATCCAGTGTAGCATGGTTATTTTGCAGCTTACATCTCTGGCCTTCATCCCAGAGAAATCAGGGGCAAGTGCAAAGAAGTAGGTTTCAGATCTCATCACAGCACTGAGTCTCACGTGGCCAGCCACAGAACCAGGAGGATCTCCTGAGTTTAGGCAGTTTAGATACAGACAGAGGAATTTCTTAGGATCACACAAAGTAACGTGTGATAGAGCAGGGAGTTAAATTCATGTCTGCTCAGAAAATAAGCAGACTACTTACTAAGGGTGTCTGTAATGCATGGCAGACATTTTGGATGCTCTTGTTCTGACATCTGTGGAGATGTAAGACCATTACAAAAGCACAGTTCATTGTCCTTTATTTCCCTGTAGAGGCTGTCCAAAGGAGAGAGAAAGGAAGTGAATGCCATTAATAAAATGAAACACCATAAATAAAAGTAGATACTCTGTCAACTGCTGAAAACAAGAGTCTTTCAGTCATTCTCTTAACTTATGAATAGTCATACAGACATTATCACTGCTGTTTTCCAGAGCTTCAAAGTCTGAATATGTAGAATTTATACTTTTCAAGCAATATTGCTGACATGTTTAAGCTTTGGTGAGTCCATTTTATTCAAATAAATATTTAAAATTCTGAACAGTTATGGCAGTTTATTTTAGGATTTTGAAGTATAGACATAAAACCTAACATCAGGATTTTCTCATGAGATTGTCTTCCCTGGAAACTACTGAAGGGTAGCACTTTCAGGACTGTTCTCATCCTTCCACTTCCGCAGAAGTTGAGAAGCTCAGCTGACACCAATATTTATTTATTTAAAGAGCAATGAAACACTTTGAACCTCAAAGAAAAAAAAAAAAAAGAAGAAAAGTTCTGTTATTTGAATTTCTGCCAAAGATGTGACAAAGTTGTTGAAGAGCAAGTGTTATAATTTAGTGCATTTACTTTGCCCCAGATGCTACTTCAATATGCATCATTGTAATTTAGGGTGCAAGCAGCCTACCCAAATACCAGCACAAAACTTGTCTGGTTTGACTATCCAGCTGTTTTCCTATGGGTCCTACTAGGGCCAAAGGGAAGATATAGGCTCTGAGATACAGTGATTCAGAGAGGAAGAATACTTTGGGTATTTTGCACTGTGTCTTTGGTGACCATCTCATTTTCAATTTAAGTCATTGGCCAAGCTGGGTATCTAAGTTTGGTGTTGGAAAAGTTTCCTGTTTCTTACACTAAGCATTGAATAAGAATAAGGACATGTTTTTAAAACGTCTAGTAAAACAAGGCTGTGGCCACACAGCCATCTATTGTCAAACTGATCTGATCCAAACTGATTTGCACACTCACATACATACCACGGTATATTGTCTTTTAGTAGTAAAGGAAAAAAAAAGTAATTAGGATAGTTAAATTTGGCTTTAAGTTGCAGGGAAATTATAAAAATAACCTGAAACTGTTGTATATCTGGAAAAAAAAACAAACCTTATACTTGCCTTTAAGCCTTAAATACATGATTTAATAAGTTAGCATTTTTAATCTTATTTGGACCTACTATCACCTACTTAATAAATTGCTGCTCCTTTCATTGTCTTTTTCATGGAATAAGAATAACTGTAGTAGATACCTACAAATTGCTGAAACTATATGGTTCTCTTACATTTCATCCTGGACCATTTCTGTCTCCATAATTTACATTTGGGTCAACAGAGAAACATCTGCCAGTTCCTTGTACTGTGGTACATCCCAATCCATTGGTCACGAATCTGCAGGAAAAGACATTAAATATAGAGCTGTTAAGGCTGTTTGGTTCTGGGTTTTTTTTGCTACTGTTACTTCAAAAGTATTTCAGAGCACTACAGAGATGTTATCAGATCTTCCTGTCTCTTCTGTGCTATGTACAACATTCCTACACACCACCGATCTCTGTATCCAAATACATGCTCATCTCTGCCTTCACATTGTCCATTGCTCACCCTTACTTCCATATACTTTCAGATAGAAATGTTTAATAGATTGCTAAAATTAGCTGAAAACTTTTCAGTGGAATAATTTAGCAACACAAAAGACAGTGTTCATTTTTTTTACGTATGAAAAATGTATTTTTATTAACATTTCTTTCAGTGAGGGAAAGTTGCTTCTCATTTTGTTAAGACAACAACCAGCACCACATTCTGACCTTTTCTGGTAATTTTACTTCGGTATTGTTTTGTTAATTTATTTAGTCCTTAATATTCTAAAATGTTTATTCAAATGTTATTCAAATACCAGGTTAAATGTTACTCAAATATCAGATTATAGGATCTAATGCAATGTTTTAAAGTTATCTCAACAGAATACTTGCTATGTCAAAAGAAAAAAAAACAAACAAACCTTCTCCGAAGTAATTTATTGCAATATTTAAAATTCTGCTTGATGGACATTTGGTTTTAACTTCTAATTTCTTAAAAATAAAACCAAAGTCTGGCATTTTCATAAAACAAATTCTGCTTTCCAGATTGCTACTGCTAACACTGTTTTTATTATGCTAGCAATTGTATTCTGCTCTACGGAACTTTGTAAAAAGAAAATGTTAAGGAATCAGCAGGCAGCCCTAGATGAGCATGCACTTCTGTTTGCTCTGTAACTAGAAAAGGAAGTATATGTTCATGCAAAAACGAGACTTAAATAAGTATTTCCTCTTGGAGTTATACAAGCACATGTGATGGCATAGTTGGAATCCTGAGAATTAGCTTTTAAGAAAGCAGCTGATGCAGATGGCAAAAGTCAGCAAAGGAGATGCAGTTCATTTTCCAATTTGCTGGCATAGGAAATTGGTGGTTTAATAGAGTAATAGGCCAACTGATGTTTGATTTTTTTTCCACATAGTCACACAATCTGGTAAAAGTTACATCACTTCCTTGCATGCTAGCCCCACTAAATTCTTTCCTGTGCCAACGTTCCAACGGAGGCTGGAAATACCAGAGGATTTCTTTCCCTTTCTGAAAAGCCAAAGTTAATGGCGGTTGAAACCAGTTTCATCTGGTATTACTTGAACATTGTTATTATACTTTAAAATAACAGCAAATCTATGTAATGGGTTTCATTGAAGTGCATAAGAAGATCCTGATAAAAATAACAGAAATCATTTTACTTATTTGATCTATGTCGAGTATTCCATTAAGAAAAAGCCAACATTAGCAAGAAGATGAACTACATCATCATTTAGACTTTTTTTGCTCTAACCTTAGGACATAGGAACAAAGACTCTGTAACATCCCCACTTTTCAAAATGCTGAGGTTTCTGAATAGAGCTACACGGAAAGCGAGTACAGAACTGGAGAGCAGAGTTGTCCCTGGCTCCCTTGAGCACTTTCCTTAGCTAAAAGAGGCACACTGCAATCTCTTTTAGTAATTGCCCTGAGTACGGTCAGTACCTTGCAAGCTTCAAAAAAGGTGACATTTTGCCAAGTCTGTACTTATAGAGACAAGACGGTGCCTATCATTCTAAGAATCTGATCTTGGTTTCTGAATTAAGCATCTTCAGAGCACAACAGCAAGTGGCTGAAAATGTGTGTGGGAGTAATTACTCTAATGTTTAGCCCTCTCTTCTCCCAGAGGTGACTGAAAAGTTTGTTGTTGTTGTTGTTGCTATGGGCTCTCCGTCAGTAGAGGAAAAGCCACACAGAACAACCAAAATGTCTTAAAACTGGGAGATGTAGTAACTGGTATGCCTTGTGATTGACTTCATGTATGATATTGCAGGCCTTAGAAAAATAGGGCTTGGAAGTACTGAACAGCTAGTTAAAGTAAAAAATAAAAAATCCTAACAGATATCTTAGGAAACACGTGGGTTTACATATGGTCAGGATATCTTGGAAGGTGCACCACAGCTGGAACTACATTACTGAGAGCAGCATGCCCAATAAGCCGGTTTTTCCAGAAAATGTCTCTTCCATCTGCAACCCACTGGATGCCTTTAACCAGTTATAGATAGAATTTTCTCCTAGATTACCTACTCAGAGACTTTTCTTTCTGCAGCATCAAGATTATATTTGGACTGGAATCTCTAATGCAGGAAAAGAACCAACATATGTTTTTGTGACTATCAATGTGGTTTGACAGCACAGTCATAAAGTGCCAGAACAGGGTGACACCAGAAGTCCATTGTTGCTAATTCCACTGGAGCTATATTACACAAATGCATTTGTAAGAAGCTCTGAGAGCTTGGTTACTAGTAAATATGGCCTGATTTTGCAGTTGTGAGGATTTAGATCAGAGGGAGCTTGTTTATTCAGTAGTACATTTGTGCATCGGTTAGACCTTTCCCACGACTTGCCTGTGTCTCTTGTCCATCCCTTCAGCAAACTGCACACACCGCTGTCATGCAAGATGCAAGCACAGAAAAGCTGAAAGGAAAAGATGTGCTAAAAGCATTCTTTCAAATTGTTGCCATAATTTTTCAGTACTTATGTCCCAGTTGAGAAAACATGTACGCACATCCTCAGCTTTAAAGATGCAGTAATCCTTTTGAATTCATTGAGAACATTCAATTACGTAATACCAGTGATGTATGTAAGAGATATACATATCTCATCTGATTGTTTTCTTTCTCTACTGAGTCTTTTTTACCTATTCACAAAAAAGGAATGCTGACGGATGGTGCAGTTGTTACTGTCACAAGGTTATTAGAAAGACAACTAGCCTTTCCATTATCCTATGTAATACGTTATTATTCTCTGCCTACATTTTCAATTAGCTGTAGCATTCTTAACCTCCCACTCCAATACCATCACTGATTATTAAACATCCAACACAAAACACTTGCAGTGATCACTGCGCAAGAGCTTTCCTTGAGGACGGCAAAGAGTTTTTCTTAAATCTCTTGGCTTGACCTTGACTCAGGCTTAAATGCAAGAATTCAGGGAGGACATAAAATAAAGGAGTGTCAGATAGCGTCATTCAGTAAAGTTAGACATCATAGTGGTGGCAACTTCCCTCCTTCAGCAAAAAATGAGAAATCAGCATCTTATTTTTATTGTTTTGTTATCATTATTTATTAAGGTGAGATGTCTTTATTATCTTTTATGTCTGTCATTTCCCATAAAGCCCCACAGAATGTGGGAGATTTGAAACTGAACTTTTAATTCTCCAAAGCAGGCAATGGAAAAATTACACAACCTCACTGTTTCCAATTAGTTATGGACTTCTGTTTATTCCTTTACCACAAACATTTTTGCTTAGTTAGTAGTACAAATTGTTAATCATAAAAATGTGTTATCTCATATGTGCTAAGAATGAAAAAAGAACTGACTCCCTGCCCTACAGAAATCAAGCAATCCATATATTTCCATTTCCAGAACGTTTTCCAAAGGAGTTTTTTCACGTATCCACAATAACTAGAGCATTACTGTAAACCTATTGTCTGTCTTTAACATTTCCCATTAGGTGAAATTCTCACAGAGTGATGCTGCATGCAGCTCAGGTAATAACAAATAGTGCATCCTACCTTTCCCTTAGAAATTCCTCTCTCTACCCTTAACACCAGTATGGTACCACAGGATGGTAGCAGGTAAAAAAAAAAATCTCCTAGTATGTACCTTGAGTACACATTAAAAGAATGATAAAAATAAATTAAGAATTGGTAATAAAAATATTAAATTAAAAATAATGTCAGGTTTGGGGGAAAAATTCTGATGTATAGCTTAAAGAATTTAGTATGTACAGTCTAGAGCAAAGACATAGTAATTGTCCCCAAAGAAATACAAAATTATTCATATTTAACGAGGCAGTGGTAATAACAGTGGTAGCTAAGAGTCACTGTTCTTATTAATAAGAAAAAAATTAAAGTAGACATCTGAAATAAGACAAATGAGTAAGAAAATTATACTAAGATTGTTAAAGCAGTGGAGGTACGGGAGGTCATCTTTAAAGCAAGAGGTTGTAAGCTCTGCACATCTCTACCTGCTTATGTTTCTTCTGTCATATTCTGCATGTCTCTCCAGCAGTTTGTTCCCTTGTCCTTCCTAAACATTAGTTGTTCACATTCTGGTGTTCTCCAGTGCTCCTTCTATGCTGCCCTACAAATGTGCAGCACATTTTCTTCTTGATGTGCAACAGCAGCATCCAGCCTTCTAAAAGTTTATGCCATTGATGTTATCACCACTCGGTTCTGACCCTAGGCAAATGCCTGTCCTATTGTCTGTGTATGAATCTACAACCCCAAGGAAAGAAGCAAAGGCGTAGTTTTCATAAGTGATTATTAATTTAAGATGATTCTGCTAATGAGTGCCATCTAAAAACACATTTTTTGTACTTTCTAAAAATCAATATCTTAAGGTCTTTGAAACTGGTGCCTAATATTTGGACCACTTAATGTTTGCTAATCAGTTTTGAAAAATGTAGTGGTCTTTTTTCCGTATTTTTAAATAATGTACTGTATAAATGGATAACATCACTATTTTTTTCATGTATCTACTTGGAAAAGCCTATCTGTAAGTTGTGACACAGTGCAGTGGTATGGGTTAGCTGATGGAATAGACAATTTCTACTTGTGATGAATTTGCTATGCTAACAATTTGTGCCTTTTTTTTTTTTTTTTTTTTTTTTTTGAAACATTGGCTCTCAGAAGTTCCAGGAATAATGGAATGTAACTTTTCCTTTACATTGCTCCCTCAATACATAAAGGCACAGATGCCTGCACTCTAAGGCAGCTGTCAACAAAGCTGTACACTGGAGCTCCCAGCATCACTTACAGTACTGGCAGGCAGGAGGAGGTCGCTGCTGGGGAATGAAGCTTGGGGAGAGAAGCAAAAGGAAAAGGCTGGGGGGCTAGAGAGAGAATCAAGGATCTTTCTTCACCATTCTTTTTCTACAGCTTTTGTGTATCTGGCCTGATTTGTTGTGGGAGAGCTGTTGGAGACTGTATTTGGCACAGGGTGGGATAGCTCAAAGCCAAAAGGATGGTGCTATTGCCAGTTTAAACCATGGCTTTTCGTTTCTTCTTTTTTTTCTTCCTCTTTTCCCCTCCCTTCTTTTTCTTTGAAGAAAGGAAAAGAAAAAAAAGGGAAGAAAGGGACTTGCAATGAAAACCAGAGCACTGGGTTAACGAAGGCCCTGCAGGCTTCAGCGGGCTGGAAAGATACATGAGGCACTTCCTCTACCATCTGGCCTGCAACTCTGCTGCTGCTGCTCTTGGTACATAACTTTGGAGTGAATAAGCAAACAAGTAAAACTTTTTAAGACACACCAATTATGCAACACCAGCTATTAATCTGTCATCTTACTCCCTTCTCTTTTCTCCAGCCACAATATTCCTTTCTGCAAGTCTTTTCCAGTTCTCATGTCTACCTGTGATACATACTGCCTTGTTAGGTTTCCAGATCCAACTCCACTTTCCTGTCCCTGGCACTGCTGCTTGGTATGGATGAGGGCCAAGCCAGTACATTTATATTTCTGTTGTCATCACTTGTGCTTCTGTGATTTGGAGTTTCAGATCTATCTCTATGCAAATATTCCCTTCCAATGTGGTTGGAGTCGAGAAGGCAAAAGAGAAGTTTTAGATGAGATGAGTTTGCTCAAGACCTACTTTAAAAACTGTCACAAAGGGTTGGGTGCATGTCTGTGTGGGAGTATGTTATGTTTTATTTCTGATGGTTTTCCTCAAATGTAATGAGAAGTGTTATATTGAGGTCACATCTTCAAGTTGTGTAAACCATCACTGCACAACTCAAGTCAGAAAAGTCCAGAACTTAAAAAATCTGAAGATTTTATCTCTGGAAATTCTTATGCTACAGTTGATTTTTGAGGCTGAAAACTTCATAGTATAGACTATAGAATCATAGAATCATTTAGGTTGGAAAAGACTTCTAAGATCAACTAGTCCAACCATCAAACCATCATCACCATATCATTAAACCGTGTCCCTAAACCTCCCAGGCTTTCTGTGAGCAGTGCTTATCTGGTTCCATTATGACAAAAGAGAGAAAAGGAAAGTCAGTCAATCACAGCAAAAACCTCAGATGAGTTAAAGATAAGTAATCACTCAACCTAGTACAATTTCAAAGTACAAGTTCAGTAAGAATCAGATGTATTAACTTACAGTTAGACGCATTAATGCCAGAAACATTTTCTACACGATTCATTTCTTTTATCCACAACTGCAGATCCTTAAACTGACCAGAAAGCAGGAAGAAACAGCAAGCAATCTAGCACAAATTATTTTATTTGAAATTATTTGACATTCACAGGAAAAATATATATACTGCCACTTACATTTAAAATCATAGATTTGATTGAGTTGCAAAGGACCCTTAAAGGCCATCTGGTCCAACTCCCCTGCAATGAATAGGGACAGCTACAGATAGATCAGGATGCTCAGAGCCCCTCCAGACTGAATTTGAGTGTCTCCAGAGATGGGGCATCCACCAGCTCTCTGGGCAACCAATTTATTACACAGTTTCTTGAAAGGACAAAACTATGACAGCAGGCTATATTGCCCCTTTGGTTTCTGACTGGCTTCTTGCTTTGCATCTGTAGAACTGTAAACCATAAAGTACAACTGTACAAATGCTTCACTTCTCACTGCCTGAATGTATCCACAAGGCAGGTACCTACCAAAGTGACGCAACTACTGTTGGCATTAAATTTTCACAGCTTTAATGATATAAAACAATACTATCGATTTAGAAAACTCAGAAGATTGCTTACTGCTACTATCAGGAGTTCTGGTGGTTAAGCACCTAAGTGTTCAGATATCCATCTGAACACAGGGCTGGGCATCTGCAAATACGTTCTCTTCCAAGATTCTTGGTATTTGTTGTATGCAGTCAAGCTGGAAATGCTACCAGGATGGCCTTTCTTTTGTAGTGTTCTATCACTTCTGATCTCTGTTGCAGCTGGGAGCAAGAAGTGCAGATGTAACCAAAGATGAAAAACTGTAGCAGAAAAATAAAATTAATGGAACTTCTCATACATCAAAGCCAAAATACAGCAATTTTGGTTTAAGGTGTAATTCACTCAGTAATATGCTGTCACCTTCTAAGACATTTGTATTTCAGTTTATCCCTCTCTAGCAGAAACAATATTGCTTTAAAAAGCAATCGCACAACATCTGCCAATATGAAAAACCTAAAATCCCACAAGAAACCATATAAACGAGAAAAAAAAATCAATCAATTTTGACACCATACATCATGGTATGAATGTGTTAATGTTGTGCTACTGTACTGCGTATCATTATTTGTTTTCTTTGTTCTTAACCCCTTTGTTCCGAGTCAGGATATCCTGACACTGAGGACACTTCAAAATAACAGTACAACAACAATGCTATAATTCTTTGGAAGCACTTCATCATTTTCAAGACAGAGCCACCTGAGAGCATAGTGGGGATTTGCAGCCTGCAGTCAGAATGAGGATAGCTTCCGTAAAATGCTGGGGCAGCCAGTTTGAGGTGGGAGCATTCAGACAAGCATGGTGGAAGGTCCCAGGACAGAGGAAACACCGTGCTGCTTTTGTTGCCATTGCCATGAGGAGTTTGCTATTTGAAGGGTATTCGGTCACTTTAAGCCCATTTTCAGAGACACTTTTCTTCTCTGTTTGCAAGTTTGTTGTTCCACCTGGAGAAAAGAAAGAACATCAACAGTAACCCAGAGAAAACAAATATACGCATGCTAGGAAGTATTATAATGCCAACTAAGATCCCATTAAGTATGTTTTCTGTGATCTTACTGAAGCCTAAGTGCTGGTACAGGAGACCACCCTCTAGCCCCCTGCTGTAGGGCTGGTCTAAAAACTAATGGCTCAAGGCCATTAGCAACAGCTTGTTTAAAGGTGAAACTTAAGTTCTGGGCAGAGTGAAGCACCTCCTGCTCCTGGACGAGCACTTGCCCAGGCACCTGTGCCTTGGTTTTAAGGCTATGAGATGAATAATTTTCTCACTGGAGCTTGAGTGATCACTGCCACCAGGTAGTGTCCTAACGTGAACCCATTCAGGTGGAGCTTGTGGCCAAACTAACGGGGCAAATCCCCCTTACCCAAAACCCCACTTTCAGCAGCTCCTTTCGCTTTTTCCCCTCGGGCCGGAGACTCGCGAACCCGCGCTCCTCCACCGGAGCTACCGCTGGGCTCAGCTCAGAGGCCGAGTCCCCCACACCCGTATAGCACCGCAGCGAGCCCTGCCGGGGCGAGATGGCGCGAGGGGGAAACCTCTCGGCAGCACCAGCCCCCGAGCACGTCAGGGACACTGCCCGCCCAGCCCCGGCAGCGCCGGTTCTCCCCCCCACCCCTACTGCCGGCAGCCGCGGCCGGAGCCCCCGCCCCCGCCCAGGGGCTCGGCGCTGCGCGGCGCCGGCATGAGCCGCGGCTCCGCGCCTGCCCGCCTGCCGCTTCGCCCCAGCTGCCGGCGCCTGGCGGCGGGCTGAAAGCGCGCAGAGGGCGGGCGAGAGCGGCGGCCGCAGATCGCGGCCGGAGCCGGGGCCGGGAGGCGGCGGGGCGCGCCCCCTGCGCGGGGCGGCGGCGGTGGGCGGCCGGGCGCCCCCGCCCCGCTCTGGATGCCGATCGCGGCTTCTCGGGCCGGGGGGTGGCTGCGGCTTCCCGGCGGGGGGCGCGGGGCAGGATGCCGGTGCTCGAGCGCTTCTTCCCCGCGGCAGAACCGGGCAGGCGGAGGAGGACGGGGGAAGAGCCGATGCCCTTTCCCATGGGCAGCCTGCCCGGTTATCAGCAGGGGACCCTGGCCTGGGACTTGCCGGAGATGATCAAGATGGTAAAGCTCGTTTGGAAATCCAAGGGCGAGCTTCGCGGGGCGAAGCACAGAGGGGTTCTGGAGAGCGAGGATGCCCTGGGCGGCTCGGCAGGTAGGTAGGCTTCCCTCGGCGCGCCGCGCGGGGCCGGGGGTGCAGGGAGTCGGCCCGGCCCGGCCCGTGGCGGAGCTGAGCCGCCGGAGAGGGGCGGGCTGGAGAGGCGCGGGCCAGGGAGCGCTGCCCGAAGGGCGTCCGGGTTTGAAAACGTGCTTTTGGCAGCTGTCGGCTCTCCCCGCTCGGAAAGGCGCGCACTTAAGAGTTTGAGCCCGCTTTGGGAGCCGGGTCCATTTGCTGATCGCGCTCTCTTCTGCAGTCTGCTGCCTGCTTTTACGAGCGGGGTGAGAAAAGCTCGGCGGCAAAACAGAGCGAGCAGCTCGGTGCCTTTGAGGCTGACCTCCGCCGGGCGGCTGGGCTCGGTGCCGGCTCGGCTCATCCTCTCGGCCCGCAGGCAGCCCGGCGGCGGAGGGCTCCTCGGGACGCCGGGCCGGGGTTTCCCCGCTGCTTTCCCTGCGACCGGCGGAGCGCGTGGCCTCGCCTCCCGCGCCGCCAAACTTCGCCCCGAACTTTGAGTGTGCGCGGCGCGTTCCACATGATCTGCCCGTGCTTCCAGCGCGGCCATCTGCAGCGCGCTGTGACACCCTTATGACTTACGTGCCTTAAATCTTGCAGTAACCCAGCCCCGGTCCGCTGCTGTCTTGGAGCGTGGTATGTTACCGGCTGAAGAGCACGTGCTCTTCTCTAACCCTGTAAATCTTGTATGTCAGATTTTTCCCTAACTCAGTTATGGGGTCATATGGCACCGTATCAAATGCTTTATTGAAGTCCAGATTAGACTTCTTGCCTTTTTGTTATGTAGAAATGAGTTGTTATGTTAGCCTGGCGCTCACTTCCAATTAGCCGATCTCAGTTTTGCCCCATGCCCTGATACATCTTGGTTTAAAGCCCTTCTACTGAAGTCGAGCTCATCTGCCTACAGTTGTCTCAATGCCCTGTGATGAAGCTTTTGATTCTCCTGTCACCGCACCACCTTGACTCAACAGACCACTGAAAGTCTGCAGTGTGTTTCTTCAGAACCCTTGGTTGTTATTTCTGCAGCCTGGTCACTGAACTCATTGGTGCCTTCAGTCTTCAAAGATGATATCCTAACCTTTTTCTGCACCTTTCATTGAGTCCTTTATCTTGCAGCATTTCCTACCAGAATAATTTAATTTCTCATGCGACGTGACCTTGCTGCAGAGATTTCAAAGTGCTTGTGTATATGTGTGTAACTGTACTTACAGACCTGAATAGCACACGTGTGTCTGTGCATCACTTTTGGGTGCCCACCAGTGCGGCCCAGTTGATCATTTTATGAGCATTATTTAGCACATTTGCAGATCAACTAAGAAATGCGTGGTTCCCTTCTATTTAGAAAAAGGGAAGATAGGTTCTCAGAGTCCAAGGAAACTGTACAACCAGCCAACCTACTGTTTGAGAATCACTTCAATTTAAAAAAATAATAAGATTGTTGTGGATAAAGCAAGGGGAGGTCAAATGTTCAAATTGCTCTTTAAGACTTGGAGCAAATCAGCTGGGAATGTACCGTAGCCAACCGGGGATGTTGAGGTTTGTGTGGTAAATGGTGAGGGTTCAGAGATGGACCCTAATCAAACAGAACTTGAGAAATGCTGCATTGGTTACACCTCATGTATGAGTAATAGTGGTTTTCCAGTATGCTTGTGTTAGATCTGGTGGAATTAATTTCATTAGGTAACAAATGAGATTCGCCTTCGGATTCCTGGAGGCAACTAAAAATGTGCATGAATGTACAAAGAGAGATTATTCCACTAGCAGGATATGAATAACTTGCATTTACTCAAGTGACTATTACTCGTATCCTGTGAAGGGACAGTTCTCTCCGTGGTGCCAGATCCCATTTCATAACCTCAGTTGACTTGCAGCAGCACACATCAGAGCAGAAGATGACTGTAGCCCTCAACGTTTTAAATACGAATCATCAGAGAGTTTGAGTGAACCAGACCTGGGTTGCTGGTTTTTCCTCCTCAGCAACAGTCATGCTAGTAGTTTTCCCTCTTGTGGTTTCATTTTAGTCACTTGAAGTACTCTGGAGTACATGGGAAAACCAGTAAATGCTGAAATCCGGTGTGCTTAAGTAAGTGCAAAAGCAAAGAATGTAGAAATGGGGGAAAAGGAGAATCATTTGGAGGAATCGGTAGTGTGGGACGCTTGGTTTGATGTTCATATTGTGGGTGTGAAAGAAACACACACGTAACTTGCATCTTATAAAAAGGCACTACTTCAGTAGGAGATCAGGTTTTTTTTCAGGTGAAGCTAAAGCAAATAACTTCTGCCCAAGGTACTGCTGGTTAGGCAAATAAAGGTTGATTGTTCAGCAGTGGAGTTCAGAGCACTCTCCACATCAAGGGCTTTTTCATTTAAATTTGTAAGTGTTCATGTGATAACTCATGTTCAGTTATCACATGCTCATGAAACTATTTTGCTTACAGTAGAAGACGAGGAAATAGATACGGATTCTGGAAGGAAACTCTCAGGATTTCTGTCTTGCTTGATCATGTTATCAGAGAGTTTTCAATCTTAGCAAAGCAAATTCCCTTGTCCTAGCCTGAGTGATGGCACCCAGCTTTGGGCTGGCTTTCTAGAAAGAAATAACCTTCTTAACTGTAGGTAATAAAGGGGAAGGAGAGCTATATCTGGGTGTGATATCAGTTCTGTGGATGGCAATGTTCTGGTGACCTGTATAACTGTAAATCACACCGCATTCCTATTTCCTGAGGTAGCTTTTACAGAGCAAAGCGGTCTGTGTGTTCTGGGCTCTCAAATTAAAGAACTGTATCTGGATCCTTCATCTTGTTCAAAACTTAGATTAAGGCACTGAATCTCCCTGCAGAAAAGTGTTTACAGTACATGATGCAGTTTACGGTTGGAACCCAGATCTCATAGATACTGACTACCTTGGATTTCTCTCTCTCTTTTTTTTTTCCAAAGCAGTAACATTCACATCTTGAGCCCGCTCTTACTGCTTTTTAAAGTTGATGTCAATTAAGACTGCAGACCTTTCTCCTGCTCCTGGCCTGCTGTTGCTTAGTAACTCCTTTATTTTCTTGTTTCAATCCCCAACCAAATCAGTACAAAACCATGGTTTGGTGAGAACTCTCTTCAGCTCTGCCAAAAGCCATTTAACGCATTCAGACTGGACATGCGACAGTAAGAAAGTGCAGTAATGGAACATAATTAGTTTGAAGAGCATTGGGTGGGAAATGAGTTATGATTCACTGTCACTCTTTATGGTGTTTCAAAGATGAATTGCAATGCTATCTGCTCGAATAAAGTAACAGCATGTGTTGATATTACTACAATTGAATTATTACAATAATTCTGTATGGAAACCACGTTGATGCTTTGTAGGGAAGTGCATTTTGCTTCTGGCCTTAACTTTATCACTTTCTCATACAGTTCAGTAGATTAAACAAACCGGATCGGGGAACAGGTACATGTCTGCCTCTAAGATTTTTCCTTGTGAGCATTTGCAACCTCTTAGATTTACAGCGATCGTCCCAGATAATTCCAGAGAGACATTCTGTACTGTTTGAGTCTTGCACATGTGCAGGCACGCAAGGCTTTCAGAGAAAGCACAGTGGTACTTAGAATTCTTGAGGTCCTCTGCGACATTGATCTCTGTGGGTTTTTGAAATAGCTCTGAATGTATTTTTCCACCTATCTCTGTCTGTAGATGTTTTCTCAGAAATTCAGGTTCTGATTCATGCGTGCATCACACTCATCCTTAACTGATGAGTCCCTTTGCCTTCAGGAGGAAAAACAAGCAGTACCAAACATCACTCTTATTACAGTTTGCTTCTGGAAAAATCTCCAATTATTGGTGTGTCCACTTACTTCCCCTCTTCAATCAACTGTCTCCTTTCCTACTTGAAAGTTTATTAAAACATCTCGACATTGTCTGAGCTGTGCTGCACACCAGGCCTTGCTCCTTCAGATCTTACAGCTGTATACTGAGCAGTTCTGTGACAGACTTGTTGGAGAGGTCAGAGTTAAATCATCTGTGTGCGTCTTCAGTGGTTGCTCAAAGCACTTCCCAAAAGTTATTCATAGGACCTCTAAGACTCAGTTCTTCCATGATAACCGAGGAAATGCGCTTCCAACTCCTTTTTCTTTTGCAGTGAACAGCTCTTAATCATGCTGTGCTTGTTAAAATAAACTTCATGCTTCCCTTTCCCGTCATTACTTGCTGAATCATATTTAGTTGTGACGTCCTGAAACTCGTGCATGTTTTTATAGTCCCATTGCAATAATTAATAAGCATAAAATGATTAAAATCTGAATCATTTAATGCCAAATAGGGGCTAGCTAACTGCTTAGAAATCTCATCATTCTGTGTGGTTGCTGTTGAGCTTGTAGGTGCTACAGATGTAGATCCCAGCAATAAATGAAGCACAAAAGCTATCAAATGGCATTGTCTTGGCATCTGACCAGTTTATTCTGTTATTCCTTAGGTTGAAAACAACTTGCTTTGTGTCCAGCTGAGAG